AGTGGAACTGCCTCAGAAGGTTTCCAAGGCTATAAACATTTATGAAAGCAGGGTGCCTCATCTTTCTCCTGCAGAGTGGCTTGTGGGTTTGAACTGCTGATCTTTGGTTAGCAGCTAAACACTTAACTACCGTGCTACTAGGGATCCTTTAATAACAACAGGGATCTTACTGTTTTGTTTCTCAAGTTGTTCAGAACTCAGGCAGTGAAGGGGCTGCCAATTTTTTGGTGCCTTCTTTGGAGATTTCATATCTATGATCCTGTTTTATTTAGTTTTTAAATATTTTTATTGTTTTTCCATATACATGTGTAGAAAAAAGGCTGGAAGTATAAGGACCATAATTTTAAAAGAGAATGGTAGAATTAGGAAGTTTTGTTTTTTACTTGTCTCTACTTTTTAATGCACTGAAATGTATCAGATATGTAATTAAGCAATAGTTAAACATTTTTGTTGTTGTTGTTGTTGTTGTTGTTATGTGCCGTTCAAGTTGGACCTGACTCATAGCGACCCCTCCTTGGGTTTCTGAGGCAGTATCACTATGGAAGTAGATTGTCCCATCTTCCTTCCGAGGAGCGGCTGGTGGGTTTGAACTGCCAGCCTTCTAGTTAGCAGTCAAGTGCCTTACCCACTATGCTAAACATTTTAGACCTCTAAAAAATATACCCTGGTCTGACAGTCCATGTAAAAGAATTAGTGTTTGTACAAGAGAAGCAGCTTGTCCTGAGTAGATGTTTCCATCTGTATAGCTTAGTGCCTGGTTCTAGAACTTATGATAGGCTAAGATATATTACTTTTCTGAAACATCTGGTTTGTGATTTTTATCACGTGTCAAAATAATTGCTTTCTGCCTATAAATAATGTTAGGCGATTTGCATGATTTTTTACAATGAGTTTCAGGATTTATCTGAGGTTAAATGGATTCTGTGCATTTTTTTTTTCTACTCACAGTGTATACCTGTCTGCTAAGCTTGTTTATTTTTGGTTTCTGTTGATTGGTCCTTGCTACTGAGCATATAAACTAAATGAGCTTTACCTAACTATGATGCCCAATGTGGCCCTAGTAAGAAGCCTGAGCAAAATTCTAGACCAGCCAGAGCCTCACGGATGAGGTGAATGTTCTGGCTCGAATTGTGTCCTCGAAAATGGTTGTAGCTGTGTATTGACAAAATTGCCGGAAATTCTAGATATATTCAGAAGAGGACATGGACGGAGGGATATGATTTACACTGATGACTGTAGTCTTTGATCGCCATCAGTGAGTGAGTGCTTCAAGTCCTCTTCCCTTTCAGCAGGCAAGGTTATGTTATCTGCATATTGCTAACCAGTCTTCCTCCAATCCTGATGCCACATTCTTCTTCATATGGCTCTGTTTCTCAGATTATTTGCTCAGCATTCAGATTGAATAAAGTATGGTGAAAGGATACAACCCTGACACACTCCTTTCCTGATTTTAAACCACATGGTATCCCACTGTTTTGGTCAAAGGACTGCCTCTTGGTCTGTTTATAGGTTCCACATGAGCACAGTAAAGTGTTTGGGAATTTCCATTCTTTGCAGTATTATCCATTATTTGTTATGATCCACACAATAAAATGCCTTTGCATGCTCAATAAAACACAAGTGAACATCTTTCTGGTATATTTGCTTTCAGTGAAAATCCGTTTTACATCAGCAATGATATCCCTTCTTCCATGTCCTTTTTTGAATATAGCTAGAATTTCTGGCAATTCCATTGATGCACAGCTACAACCGTTTCTGAATGATCTTCAACAAAATTTTACTTGTGTATGATATTAATTTCCACATTTTGCCCATAGAATCCTTCAGTATTGCAACTCTAGGCTTGAATTTTTTCTTCTGTTCTTTCAGCTTGAGAAATGTCAAATGTGTTCTTCCATTTTTTTTAACTCCAGTTCTTTTCACATTTCATTATAATTCTTTACTTTGTCTTCTCCAGCTGCCTTTTGAAATCTTCTGTTCAGCTCTTTTACTTGATCATTTCTTCCGTTCACTGTACTCTACGTTCTAGAGCAAGTTTGATAGTTTTTTCTGACATCTGTTTTGGTCTTTTGTTTCTTTCCTGGCTTTTTCATGACCTTCTGCTTGCTTCATGTGTGATGCCTTTTATGTCATCCCACAACTCATTTGTTCTTTGGTCATTAATGTTCAATGCATTGAATCTACTCTTGAGACGCTAAGTTCAGGTAGGATACACTCAAGGTCATATTTTGGCTCTCCTAGACTTTTTAAAATTTTCTTCAGCTTCAACTTGAACTTGCATAGGAGCAGTTGATGGTCTCTTCCACAGTCAGCTCCTGGCTTTGTTTAACTGATGATATTAAGCTTCTGCATTGCCTCTGATCATTGTATTCTGTTTGTTTCCTATGTATTCCATCTGGCATGGTCTATGTATATAGCTGCCATTTATGTTGCTGGAAAAAAAGTATTTGCAATGAATAAGTTGTTGGTCTTCTAAACTTCTACTGTATGGCTTCCGGAATTGTTTCTGTCACCAAGGCCATATTTTCCAACTATGGATCCTTCTTTGTTCCCAACTTTCTCATTCTAGTCACCCATAATGATCAGTGCATCTTGACTGAATGTTTGATCAATTTCAGACTACAGAAGTTTGTAGAAATCTTCAATTTCTTTATCTTGGCTTTAGTGGTTGGTGCAGATGTTTGAATAATTGTCTTGTTAACTGCTCTTTCTTGTATGTGTATGGATATTCTATCGCTGACAACAATGTATATCAGAATAGATTTTGAAATGTTCATTTTGACAATTAATGTGATGCCATTCCTCTTCCATTTGTCATTCCTCATATAGCAGACCATGAAAACAAAAAATCCACTGCCATTAAGTCGATTCTGTCTCATAGTGACCCCCATTGAGTTTCCAAGGTGGTAAATCTTTATGGAAGTAGATTGCTTCATCTTCCTTTTGTGGAGCAGCTGGTAGGTTTGAACCACCAATCTTTTGGTTACCAGTCAAGTGCCTCAGGCTCTGCACCACCAGAACACCTTTATGTTGTTATTGTTATGTGCCGTCAAGTCCAACCCGACTCATAGCGACCCCTCCTTAGGTTTCTGAGGCAGTATCACTATGGAAGTAGATTGCCCCATCTTCCTTCCGAGGAGTGGCTGGTGGGTTTGAACTGCCTTTATAGTAGACCATAAAATAAAAATTTCAAAATGGCCAATACCAGTCCATTTCTGGTTACTAATGCCTAGGATAGGCGCTCTGGTAGCATAGTGGCTAAAAGCACTTGACTACTAACCAGAAGGCTGACGGTTCAAATCCACCCGCCACTCCTCGGAAGGCAGGTTGGGCAATCCTACTTCCATAGCGATACTGCCTCGGAGACCCAAGGAGGGGTTGCTATGAGTCGGGGCCGACTCGACGGCACATAACAACAACAACAACAACAATGCCTAGGATATCAATCTTTATGCATTCCATTTCATTTTTGACAACTTCCAATTTTCCTACATTCATACTTTGTGCATTCCATGTTCTGATTATTAATAAATGCTTACAGCTCTTTCTTCTCATTTTGAGTGTGTCACATGAGGAAATGAAGGTCTTGAAAATCTTACTTCATCTTCCTCATTAAAGTTGATTCTGCTTTGAGGAAGCAGCTCTTCTCTAATCGTATTTTGAGTGCCTTCCAACCTGAGGGGCTCACCTTCTGTCACTTTGTTACACACTGTTCTGCTGCTGTTCATCATGTTTTCAGTCCCCAACTTTTTCAGAAATAGACTGCCACGTCCTCCTTCCTGGTCTGTCTTAATCTGGAAGGTTTATTGAAATCTGTCTACCCTGGGTGTCCCTGCTGATAATGATATCCTGGTGGCGTAGATTCCAGCATCACAGCAACACGCAAGGCGCCACCATAAGATAAACTGACAGACAAGTGGTAGAGAGTTATCATATGACTCAGCAGTTCTTCTAGGTATATACCCCAGAAATATAAATAATGCATCCATATAAACTCTTGCACCTGAATGTTCATAGCAGCATTGCATTCTTCATGCGGCCAAAAAAAGTGGAAACAACCTAAGTGCTCATCACTTGATGAATCACTAAATAAAAGTAGTATATTTATACAGTAGAATATTGGTCAACAAAAAAGAGAAATGTCACAATACATGGTGCAATATCGATAAACCTTGAAAACATGCTAAATGAAGGAAGCCAGTCATAAAAGAACACATAATACATGATTCCATTTATAGACTATAGAATATAGAGACAGAAAGATTAGTGATTGTCTAGGGTTGAGAAGATGGGAGGAAAATGGGGAATGACTGCTAATGTGTACAGGTTTTCTTTATGGGGTGATAAAAATGTTTTAAAAATAGTAGTGATGGTTGCACATTCTCTGAACGTACTGAAACTTTCAGTTGTATACTTTAAGTGGGTAAATTTTATGGCATTAGAAAACTAAATGTTGTGTTTTGTGCTTTTAGCTTTTTTGACTCAGCATTATGAGCCAAGTCAAATCATCATGTTTTAAAAATTTATCTGTTACTATAAATTAATTCTGTATAACTCATTTTTCATATTTTATGAGTTTATAATTTTTTTTATTAACTTGCTTCCCTGTTGGTGGATTTTTAGATTGTTCCTAGAGTTTTTTCCTTTTTCTTTTGTTGTTAAAAACAGTGCTGCAATGGACCTTTTCATCTGTTTCCTAATGTTATGATACATTTTCATGGCTTGCTTCCAAGTTAGAATGTGATAGGATTATTTGTGGTTTGAGATTTAGGTTGCTTTATTTAATTATTTAGAAAGTATTACATTGGCATACCTCAGAACATATAAATATACAGTTTAAAGTTGGAATAAGTAGAAATACTTTATCTTTTACTGTGGTTCTTTTGTAACTGGCAAGAGAAAAAGGTAGAGCTTCTTATTAGCATGACTTTTTGATATTTTAGTGTTGTGTAAGGTGTACCCTAATCTTTATGTCTGTTAATATATATGTTACAGAAAAGGCCACAAATGAGTACAACACTACAGAAGATTGGGGTCTTATCATGGACATATGTGACAAAGTTGGAAGCACTCCTAATGGGTAAGATGCCTAGTCATGTCCAGTAATGTCTAGGAGGTTGATAACCTGTGTCTCTTTTCCTGATGGTAGCCTTTAAAGGAAAATGGAATTTTTTTTTTTTTTTTAATTAGGATTTGGGTGAAGATTTACAGAGTAAATTCACTTTTCATACAGCAGTTCACATATACTTTGTCTCATG